CACTCCCCTCTCAGCCAACTCGTCATAACCGCCCGACTCGACAACCCTTCCCTCACTCAACACCAGTATGTGATCGGCTTCGCGAAGGAATTCCATGTGATGTGTGGCCAGTATTCGTGTCGTATTCCTCAGCAGTCCTTTCGGTCCAATGATTCGTTCGAACAGATGTTGTCCGACGTGTGCGTCCACTGCAGCCAAGGGGTCGTCCAACAGATAGATGTCTGACCCGTGATATACAGCTCGGGCTAAACTCACTCTATGTTTCTGTCCGCCACTCAAATTGATTCCCTTTTCGCCGATTTCTGTCAAATCCTTTGCCGGAAGTGAATTGAAATCCGTGTCCAAAGCACACGCTTTGACTACCCGTTCATATTTGCCCCGATCGTAGTCCGACACAAACACAATGTTTTGTCTGAGACTCATGTTTTGAATCCAAGCCGATTGTGGCACATAAGACACCGAACCCCTCATTGCACTCCTCGAGCCTCCCGTTTGGTACATATCGCCCATTAGGGCTGAAAATAGGGACGACTTTCCCGATCCCACTCTTCCCACGATCGCAACCAACGATCCCTTCTTCACATTCAGTGTAATATCCTTTAGAATCGGCTCTTCTTCTAAACTCCACGAAAAGCAACACTTCTTCAAAGACACGGCATATCTCTCATCACTGGAATCGTCACTTCTCTCATCCCTTTCCACACTTTCGTCCAATTCTTCAGAACTTAAATATTTACGAATTCGTCGAAACGAGACAATAGCTCGAGTGAAATAAGATAAAGTGAACGGAAGTCTATAATTATGAGAAATAAAATTATAATTTAACACAATTACTGTAATACAATATATATATTTGTTATATTCCTAATACCTGCCCATTGGTACCCGTAATATATTTATGGCGGAAAGTGAAACAAAAGCTGCTTTAGCTGTCAATTGTAAACCACTTACATGTAGATACACTGTGAATGTAATTCCCGCCATAATAAAGGGTACTGCCATCCAGCACACATAAATAATTGCGTAGAAATAATTGAAAATCTTAAGTTCATGCAACTCTTGATGTCTGGTTTTGGAAATCCTATCCATAAACGGCTTCTCCCAACCAAACAGTTTGAGAAGTTTTATATTACTTAACACTTCACTGATTTGTTTGATTCGCGTATCCTTTAACTCCATTTGTTTTGCCTGAATCTTCTCGATGCGTTTGGATATGAAAGTTGTCCAGGGTAATACCACTGCCATCACCGCAAACACCATCAGCGATGAGGGACCCAATTGTTGCCACAGAAAGTATTCCCCGATTATGAACAGTAGGGGTATTGTATACAAGTTGGTCATCACACGAATGAAATCACATATTGTCATCACATCGACGCTCATTATGTTATTGATTTCACCTTTAATTAAATCATTAGAAATATGAAAAACAAAATTCTGTTATGACTTATAAGTTATATAACTATTCGCTTACCTGTTGTGAAGGTACGGCGAGAACCGGCGCTAAGTCTCAGCATTTTCTTATAGATTGCAATCGTGAGGGACGAGGAAACCCTATATGAGCCCAATATTGTCAACAATATTGAGTGACAATCAAATAGTCTTGACATGAGATTAAAGAGACAGTAAGCGATGGCATAACACACTCCGTGCCACATGTGATCGGAATCGGACACAAAGTCTATTAGTTTTGCGAGAATATAGGTCTGAATAAAATCTGCGGCGACTTTGCATAAGACTAGTGCCCCAGCGGTTACACAAGAGGTCCAAACTGTTGATGAAATCAATGGCAATAAACTGATCTCAGATTTGAGTCGATTTGAGTTGTATTTGCTGTCCGCCGATTCAAACGCATTGAAAGCGTGAAGGGATTTCATATAATCGCAGACCGGAAGCAAATGTGGAGTCAAATCGGCGGTCGATTTGTAGCCGTGTTTTAGGAGTGTTTTCATCCAAATGATGAATATTTTGGAGAAGACATTGAAGTCATTCATTGGACACTTGGGCTCACATTCTGCTCCCAATTCCTCGAAGTCTGAATATCTTGTGGTTAAACACGAGATAATAAGTGCTATTATTGTGAGGAACAGCTCCAAGCAATTCAATACAGCCTCAAGAATAGGAATATTCTTGTCGTATATAATGAAGAATTGGTACAAATTTATGGTAACAACCAATATATTAGTGAACCACTGAAGGGGTACAGAACTCGGGTGTCGGTAACCAAACCGTCGGAATAGTAGCACCAGATATATGACCAAAGAATAGGTCATAAATTTGATTGAATGCGAAAATACTTCACTTAATAGTAATGAATTCGTTTCAAAGTATTTCCACAGAATTCTTGTGATATTAGTCATTGAGATAACAGACACGCAAACGATTGTAAGCTAAGGTTTATAAATAAAAATTAATGATAGATTTTCTCAATAAAATGTATATGAAATGAAAATGTATACCAAATGTGAGACATTTCTCCATTGATAGGGAATTGGAGGCACTTTTTGGTTGTATTTGCGGACAACATATATATCGTACGGAAGAAGTAGTAATAGGACTGAGAGTGGAATCACTGGTAATACTGTTTGTGTGAAACAGTCGGTCAGTACCGGGATATCGGAATCCCAACTCAGAGTCCAATTCTGGAAAAACAAACATTACTTCGTATACATTACAGTATATATTATATACTATATAAGTCATCTAGTTATTAATTAAAATCTATTGTAGCATGTTTATTTATAAATTCATATTCATATAAAAAGAATTTTATTAACATAATTATATTTAACAAAAGTTTTTAATATAAAACATGAATTGTCAAGGTAGCATTTGTGTAGAAATTATACGAAATATTTGATTAATTTATTGTAATTCATTGTATTTAATTTAAAAATATAAATTTAAATTAATATTTAAGAAATAGTTGTAATACAAAACTTACCAAAAGCGGTGAATTGCAAAACACAACACTTTTGTCCATTTTATGACATTCGTTGCAAACAATTAGTAATTTTCAATTTATTATTAATCAATGTTTATTATAATTAACATACAGTATAACATACAATACAATGCAAATGATAACACTTTTCTAAAAGTGCAGGAATTAAATACTTTTCAGTTTGTAAAAAATATGTGACCCTGATATAATTGTATAACTAGCTGTCACACTAATAGTTTCCCATAAATTGATTTCAAACTTAAAGTAATTTTGTTGAAATATTATAATGATATACAGTAGGTGTATATAATATAAAGGTGATCTAATATTTGATATAATTAACAATTGGATCTATTCTTGTCATTAAGATTCATGTCAACAGAAAATGTGTTTAACAGTTAGCGTTGCATTTATATTTGCATACATGATATTTGTAGTGATTTTTAAATGTGAATAAAATATTACGTCAAATACGTGCTGCCATTCGCCGAAAGTTAAATATTGACAAAGTTTGACAAAATGTAAATACAATTGATTTGTTAAATGAGGCAAACAGTTGACAAACAGTATGAGTACCGTATACTGTAGTACCGTATAGTCATACCTATGGCTGCCAAATCAAAAAATTCATAAACGGGAGCTTTCAATAGTTTACATATAAACTCCCGGGAGATTTCCGGGAGATGTTTATAAAGGATTATACAAAATTTTTCATATATTTTTAGCCGTATAATTTTTTATAATTAAATATATAAATAGAGTTAAATGTTGACATTTTCTTTTAATTTAATATTAGACCATTGTTTATAATTAAATAAAATTATTTATAAATTAAATTATATGCCTAATCAATCCAGTAATTAAATACTAAAACTTATTCTAAATTTTTTGACCCTTAAATCAATTATATTTAGCTTATTTTAAATTTTAACATTTTTAATATAAAAATAGTTCTTAATATAAATATAAAATATTTTATGTAATTATGTTCACAATGTATTTAAAATAGTGTGAATCTATAAATAATTACATTCAAATTAATCACTATTTAAATAAACAAGCAATAAACAAGGGGAGAATAATCTTAAACATTCATTATTTAATAATTATATAATCCTTTTATATACAGTATGTTTATATGCATATTATATTGTAATATTTTCATTTAAATGTTATGTTTTATATACGTTTTCATTAAATCACAAGGTTAATTTGTGTATAAATGTCTGAATCTTTGCCCGGGAGAAATCAATCTCAAGGTAGACAGTCAACCGGAAGGTTTGGCAGCCCTAGTCATACCATATCTGAGATAGGAATATAAGATGAGTCTCCGAAAAATGCTTTAATTTTAACTTTCAATAAATCTAATTAATAAATTTACTCAAAAGTCAATTATTCATACAATACTCATAGGTTTTGAGGTAAAAGAGTAATGATATAAAAAATGTACTAAACTATAATTGCCTCAAGCTCATTTCATAACTATGCTAATGAATTAATATATAATAATACTACCTAGAACATATTTATCCAATTATTTTAGTGTACATAATAGTCCATGATTTTTATTACGACTTTTAGTTTCACAAAATTAGCAATAATAGGGTATCTAATCATAAATATTAGTCTATTTTTTGCCATTAATTGTAATTGTTTTTCGGTTATTCTTATGTCTCATGTTTTCTGACTCTCTCCCTCTCCCTCTCTCTCTTTCTCCCTCTCTCTTCCCCCTCTCTCTCTCTCTTTCTCCCTCTCTCTCTCTTTCTCCCTCTCTCTCCCCCTCTCTCTCTCTTTCTCCCTCTCCCTCTCCCTCCCTCTCTCTTTCTTTCTTATGTCTTATGGCGCCGTCTGTTCGTATCCGGTCTCGTGCTGTTCGTGATGGTAGCCGTAGTCATGACCGTAGGCCGGGTAGTCGTGATGGGGGTGCCGGTAGTGATGGTGGCGCCCGTGTCTGAACCGGTACGGCATGTATTGATTGAGCGGTAGTGGCGGCCCGTCGTATGTATCGCCCGAATAGTAATCATCATAATTGGGCCATACGTTGCCAACGGACAGGTATGCTATCGATAATAGCAATAAAAGTACCTTAATCATCATCATGGATGTGCTCAATTACCTTGATTATATTTATGAAATGAATGAGCAATGTAGAAATTGTGTTCACAAATATAAATACCTAAACACGTAAGCGGCAGTTCATATGTTTATGTGTTTCTAATTAACTAATTAATTAATTAAAATTAATAAAAACTTCTGTAAATGTGTCAGGCTAATACAAAAAGGGCAATATTTGCATCACAGTATTTATTACATTATATTTGCACTATTCGTGCGAACATTGAATAAAAAGTTTGTCAATAACTCCGGAATATTCTGTATATAATCCATAGAAAGCATATCCGCGAGAGTGCGCTAACTCTGTGACACACAGTCTCTGTCTGTCAGTCAATGTGTTGTTTGTAAACAATGTTAAGTGAATTCAATATTCTGTGAAATTATTTGTTAAAAGTGTTTATAATTGCAATTAATTCATAATGTTCTTGGTGAGATAAAAGTTTAAAACTAAATTCATATTGGTGATTACCAGATAATTGGATACAGGTAATTTGCATTGAGTGCGAGCCTATGCAATACAATGTCTTATTAATATGCAAATTGCTATTTAATTAATTAATTGTTTTTTTGCTTTAATTTAGTTTTTATGTCCGAAATAGTCATCAATTGATTGCAAAGTATTGTCTCATAAGTGGTGAGAGGAATGACCGCAAGAAGTAGTCATACAATGAATGCACAGAAAGTCTATCCGAAAGACTCTTTTGACAGATTTGGCGACGATTTGGAAATGAGTGGATATAATAGTATTGTCTCATAAGTGGTGAGAGGAATGACCGCAAGAAGTAGTCATACAATGAATGCACAGAAAGTCTATCCGAAAGACTCTTTGGACCGATTGGGCGATGATTTGTGTCAACACTTATTGTCTTATCTGTCACTCGAAGACCGGTTCCGATGTGAATGTGTGTCCAAACAGTGGCAGAGAGTCGTATACGAGACACAAACGGATCTCACGATTGACGACAACTCCATCGAAACAAAAGTCAATAAAAATAGATTTGAATTAATGCTAAAGAAGTGCCAAAACATCACATCATTTGCAGTGAATATCTCTTCACGCCATGAGACAAATGACTGGATATTCGCGTTAATCACTAAACATTGCCATCACTTGAATGCCATTCATATAACACACAATATCTCCATGTCTTATACGATTGACACGTTTTTCGCGAAGTTTGCCAAACGCTTGAAATGCATTGAAATCCAAGAGTGGACCGCAAACCCAACTCATTGTTTGGATTCAGTCGAGTATATCATTTGCTTGTATAACATCAAGTCTTGTCTACTGTTTCCGGCGACTGGCGATCAAAATGATGTGTCGTTTCCGAGACTCAAGAGCTTTCACTTCGTGTACACCAATGAATGCGTCAAATATTTTGCTTTATTTGCGCGAAACTACGCGAGGAGTATGCGATCGCTTTCAGTGATAGTCGACAACAGTTGCGACGATAAGGATTGGCTTCATGACTACTGACCAAACAGAGTTTACGCCCGTAATTAACTCAATGCCTAACTTACAAAGCACTTTAGATACCTACCCAACTCATTACAACCGGAGTTAAACGCCGCAAACTTCTCTGAAACAATTTTAAATCGCAATCAAAGTACTTATAGTTTCGTTGAATTGATTGAAACTATTAACAAACACTTCACTCGCTTAAGACGTTTGGAAATCAATGGATATCTACTCACAGAATATAAACTCATGAGTGAAGCACTCAATGCTTGCAATCGGTTAACGCATTTGAAGACTAATAGACTTCATATCATAAATGAGGCGTTTTTGGTGAATATATCCCATAATATACCACACCTTCAATGTCTGGACATTTCGGTGAATACCATAAGCGATGTGTCATTGGATTCATTGTCTGCGCTCAAGAACTTGCGGTCAATTAGACTCCAGAGCCGACACACGGTTTTCAACACCCGTTCCCTTAATAGGCTTATCACTAATTGTGTGAAATTGAAAACTATTGAAATAAATTCACTAAAGTATTGGTGATTTAATAAAATAATAATATAAAACCGGTGATATAATGATTACCGGTACCTTGATGACAAATTATTTGCAATTTTATAATACTGTACCGGTACATTGATTTTCATAAGTATTATTTTTTTTAATTTAATTATTAACTGAATGGTAAACTTAATTAATCACTAATTAACATAAAGTTTTAATGAAATTCACGCAAAGCATAGCCGCGA